CCCCCAATCCTTATTTGTTTTATTCCCCAAACCACCTCACATTTTACTGGAAGGCACTGCCGAAAAGTCTAACTTCTTTCCCTTCCTTCTTTTGTCTCTGCATTCCTCACTCTTTCCTGCACTCCTAACTCTTTCTGTGTACACCATGCAATGTGCTATTCACTTTATTCAAACTCAAACCTTCAACAAAACCCCTTCCTCCCCTCCCCCCTCCCCCTTTTCCTCTCCGCCTCACTTCCTCCCCGCACTCCACCCCACATTCGCCCGCTCTTCTTCTTCCCCTTCCATTCGCCTCCCCCCCTCCTTCCCTTCCTCTACCCACTCCCCGCTATGCCAGGCATGGACCCAGCCGGCCCGTACTTCGAGGACACGGACAAGGTTGTGAGACTGGACTCCACTGACGCCACGTTCGTGGACATTGTCCACACAGACGGTGACGTCATCCTGCACCTCGGTGAGACTCACAGGACAATCGTTCTATTCATGATACTTACTTTTACTTTTTCATCCTCTGTTGTTGTTAAAGCGTCGAGGGGAGATGCATTTTTCTATGGTAGGCCAGCTCCGTAGCTCTTTCAAATGGGATACATGTGGTATGTACGTATTATAATTTCTCAGGGTATTCTTTACTCCCTCAATCCACCTTTTGCGTGGCCTTCCTCTTCTATTATAGCCTGAGTGCTTGGGGTTCATGATATATGTGTATATTTCTCAAACGTGTGTGCCTGGAGAAATGTCCCAGTTGTCGGAAATTTTGAATATTGAAATAAAGGCATATTCTTGTAGCAATACTGAAAATGCTGGTTTTTAAATTGTTCAAATATCATTAGCAGATTTAAAGATATGCCACATTTTGTAACAGATGGTGTAAAAACAAAGTTTGGAGAAAGAACTGCTTTAATCATAGTTTATAGTATGTTGCTCCAATATCCAGCACAATTTCTACCTTTTGGTGAAGTACAACATGTTGCAAAAATAATAAACTAAAAACAATTAGACTTGAAATATAAATCCTTTCAATATGTTATTAAGAAATGGTTAAACATGTGATTTCTCATGGAACTAAATGTTTGACCTGGTACGACATTGCCGACAACTGCCCACACGCAAATCTTTCCTTGTGCGAGCTCGTATTCACGATCAGAAACATTTAATTATACCTCTTGTTAGAATCATTATTCCTTTGTCAGAATATAACCTATATCAGAATGTATCCCATTCCAGAATATATTCCGTTCCAGAACCCACTCAGTTCCAGAATACACACCATCACATTATTATGTTTTATCTCAGAACATGAAGATGGATGATGATGATGCTCACGACGATAGGCAACGTGCACATAGGACAACATTTAAACAGTAACACACACACACACACACACACACACACACACACACACTGAAAGCGGGAGAGGAGCTTTATAGTACCTCAAATTCTAATAATTTTTTTCCATCTTTAGCCACCAATCAACCACTCTTACTTCCACATTAATTTGGGATGAAACTACATGTAGTGTACAGACAGACAGACAGACAGACAGACAGACAGACAGACAGACAGACAGACAGACAGACAGACATAATAGCTGTTATTCATCTCAATGTAACCCCTCCTCCCAACACCTTCTAGGTAACGTCGGTGGCGTGGGTGGCCTTGTGGCTAGGCTACCGGATCCGTAATCGTAAGATTGAGGGTTCGGCGGTTCGCACCTCATCTCGGTCCGAATTGTGTCTTTACGCTTTACACGAATTTCCCATCTGATTTGGTCCTTTCGGAGATGGACGTTAAATTCGGAGACCCGCCTTTAATTCTAAATAACCTAATAGTGTTTATAGGGACGTTTAGCCTATACCATTTCACCATTTCATCCGCCGTTTTTCGACTTTTCAGGCTTTGGCCTCAAACAACAGATAGGCCATGCAGACTACTACCCTAATCTAGGTCACGACCAGCCAGGCTGTCAGAAGGACCCGATTTCTCAAATTGCAGACAACGGGGTGGTGCAAGGTGAGACTTTGTTGATGTCTCTTTCGTCATAGTGGTCAGTATCAAAATTAGTCTTGGGTACGAATCAAAAGCTAACAATTTGACTTAGACATCAATATTTTCAAATCCTCGCTCCTAGCTTTTCCCTCGGAGTTATAATATCAATGCATTTTTTTCCACAAGTTTTCTCAAAGTCAATGATTGTCTGACACGAAATAAGACCATAAACATGGCCATGTGACCCCCCC